TATATATATATATATATATATACACTGATTTTGATGAAACTTTTATTATTAAAAGTATTTACAAAATGATGAGCAATGACATCTATTTTTATCGCCAATCGTCAGTATTTAATAAGAAAAATTAAAATGTTTATAGAAAACTAAGTAGACGAAAGTAAATAAGATATGAGAAAATTACATTGTCCAAGTTCATTTTATAACATGTGAATGTGGATAATTGTATCCGATGTATTTTTGCTTAGTAAACACGAATCCGTGTTGTCCGCATTTGACTATCACAATTTTATAAAAATTTTGGTATGATTTTTCGTTTTTGAGATGTAGCAATTTCAAAATAGTTTTTTTCCCATGTAATACATGGAAAAAGCATTTTATTCCACCTTAATAATGTATTATGCGAGAAATAAGTGCTTTTGTACTTACATACTTAATATAATCGAATCACTAAATCAAAAAGGAATACGAAATTGATAAAAAATACAAAATGATAGGAAGAGATTATGATCTTTTTTATTTTATAATCTTGCTATATTATATTTTGTCAATTTCATATTCCTTTTTTATTTAATATGATCTGATTATATTATGTAAATACAAAAGCACTTACTTTCTGTATAATACGCAGCATTAAGATAAAATAAAATGCTTTTTCTGTATGTATTACATGAGAAATTGCTTTATTATAAATTAGTGTTAAATACAACAAATATTATACTTATTAGTAAATTAAGACTTGTTAACAATGAAAAATGTTATACATAAGAAATAAGAGCATCCGTTAAATAATAAATATTATATGTTAAAAGATCGACAGGCAAAGATGATACTCACTTAAGATCCCAAAAGGCGACGGTGCCGTCCTTGCTGGCGGTTACAAACTGATAGCTTAGATCGTCCAGGGGCGCATCTTCCGGCAAGGACGAGATCCGGCCGTTTTTGTCGACCTCGTGATGCGAGGGCACCCAGACTATTTGGGTGATGCCCGCCTTCTGGCTGTACTTGAGGGCAGACATCGCCGTCGGACTGATCAACGACGTCGGCGTCGTCTCGCGCATCCATGTCATCAAGCTCCTCATCGCGATGCTGTACTTCACTTGGGCGCTCGTCTGTGTCACCACAGTCTCCACCTGCTCGATTTTGCCGGGAATGTGCCAGATGGCGATCTACGGCAAGGATATGGATGGATTTTATCGTCGTTCACTCGTCCTCCCTCTCCTCGTCTCGTTTTACTATAGTCTAGACTTTTGAGTTTCACGGTTGCAGCTTGTTACGAGATGTTTTCCCCATACATTTTCCCAGACGCTTCTTTTTGTCTACAATTTGCTAGTTTCAACTCACAAATAGTATTGGGCAATTAAGAAAATGCACGCAGTTTTCAATTTAAACAGTAGAGCGTTGATAGAAATTAGAAATATGAAACAATATTCGCTAACGAACTCAATAAAAATAAATATTTTTTTGTAATAAAAGAAATTAAATTTTATTTTTTTCGATAATAGAAGTATGTAAGCCTGAATAAAACTGATCGAACTTTATGTTGTTATTTTTGTGAAACAATCTATTTGAAAAAATATATGAAAAGTTTAATATTTCGGACATCCACCGTTCCTTTTACTTGATTTTCACGACCTGAAATAATGCATTCTCGGCATTATTCACATTCGTTGCGCGTTTTTAATCAGCGCATTTCACAATACTTGATTGCTCGATCGACGAGTGTTCTGTGGGTGTCATCTGATATCCAGAACATTGTGGAACACCAAGTGGAGCAACGAGAAAATCGTCGCGTAGATTAATAGAGATAGGTGATCCCGCTTGCATACGATATTCGCGTTACGTTTGTTATTCGCGTCCGCCATGATTGCCGACGTACTTTTCGAATTTTCACGTCCGAAACGGGGGCGGCACGCGGTGACAAGCTAGGGAACACCCGGTGGATCCACGGCACCATCGCGATGTGTTTTTCGATATACGTGATTGATACCGATCGTGTTCCATCGGATTGCCGCGTTCGTCGGAAGAATTTGTTTACGTACACACGCGTGTCGCGTTATTCATTCGCGGGGATGACGTGTCAAGCGAATGCGAATGCTTCGGGGTGCATCGCAGTAACGGGTTAATCGATATTGGTGGATTGCTATTCGTTTGCGAAATGAGGAAAATATTAAATTCATACGCGTTTTTGCTACCGAATTATTTTCCAATTTTTTTTTTCAATCTTCTTAACCTTTGAAAAAGTACCCTGTTAAATTCATAATTATACTCAATTTGAATTATATTCTACCATTTCTATAGATCCTTACTACTCCTATTCAATATGTCGTTAATTTAATTAAATAATGGAGTTAAACTAAACAATGGAGTTAAAAGATTTAAATGAAGAAATATTAAATTTATATTTAATTAAATAAGAGAATTCCTATTTGATCTGAAGTGGATCTTTGTGCTTAAATATTAATTATAAATAGTATTAAATTTAATTTAATGTTTAATAAGCATACACATTAATATAAACGTGTTTACTTTGAAACTAAGTAATTTTACCACAGAAATAGATTGATTAATTTGTTTTTTAATCACGTATTTTATACTAAAATTTTGACACAACACAACACTTGAAAGTTAAAAATAAAAAATTATTATTTGACTTAAGTAATTGGTTTAAATTTAATTTTTTAATATTTAACATTGTTTCGAGAATTACAACTGCATCATTTTTTATCAATACTTTATCGAATAATCAAAAAGTCATTCCAAATATATATATAGTACACGAAACGATAGTAAAAAAGCAATAGTTTTTAAGGTTTATACTTTTTACATCCTTGCAATATGAAGGATATACACGAATAATCTTCGAAGACTAATGAATAGCCATTTGGTCTCGAGTAGTCCAACTATCAGTCAACGATTTATTTCACAAACAGAAACATATGATGAAATAGAAAAAAAAAATTTATTTTGTTCACCTGGCCATTTATACAGCCACCTATGATGATGCTACTGTCGATAGGACAGACCGAAACGGATGTCACTTCTCGTGGACATTCAAGGATGAGTTTAGGTGACAAACAGTCGGCGAAAGACCATATTAATACTTTATTGTTGCCCTCGCAAGCTAAAAATACCTGTTCATGAGAACGTACGATTTTGTGTAAATTATAATACATTAAAATTATATTGCGCGCGTGTGTTTTTGCCAATAGAAAAATATATTTTACATTAATAATAAAATTTTCTTTGAGATGGAAAAAGCCAGCTACATCAATTTTATGATTAAAATAAATATAAATGTTAGAAGTAATTTGCAGTTGCCAAACCTCATCGTAAGTTTTGGGACCTATTAAATGCTCGCCCTTTGCATGCTGCGTATAAGTAGCTATCACCGTTCCGGTCCAGAATGGATGCCAGCAGAGATCATTGATAACCTTATCCACAATGATCTTTCCATCGTAGTAGCTTTGATGTTCTTCGTAACTTATAGGCATAGGTATCTGCGTATCCTTTTCACTACGCACCAAATTTGCATAATCATTCGTATATATATCCCACGTGGAGTTCATTAAAACCTGTGACAAAATAGTTGATCAATTAGAAATATCGTTACCTTTTAAGCTCTCATTTAAAAAAATAATTAAATCCTTTTGTAATTAATATCTTATAATTAAATTATGATAACATACATTATATCCCAATTATAATTGTAATTATATTTTATTAAATTTTAACTGTATTTTAATATTACACATTATTTAAAGTATTGTAAATAAGTCAATAAATTTATATTATAACATATTATATTTTAATCACATTTTTATTATGTTTTAACTATATTTTAATTATATATTATGTAAGTACTATAAAATCAATGAATTTGTAATATTACCTGATCGCACACGACATCAGTATAGCGTTTCAAAAAATATTTCAAAGACTTTATCTTATACTCGGTATAAGTAGACAAATCGACTGTCTCGTATTCGTACAGATATTGGTACCAGGAATTGACAGATATCGATGGTGCCGTTTGCGCCTCGTTGTGTCGTATGATCGGCGTCACTTGCGTATACCTGCTTACCAATTTACGTCGTACATTCTCAAATATTTGCTGATTATTTGGTAGCAACTCAATGTATCCATCTATCTGATCATCCGCCTTCCTGTCCGTTAGATTTATCGGCACGTTCAGCAAATCAGCGGTAGACGTAACCTGATCGTAATTAAATGCGAAAGATATGAATCGCCCGGTGCATCAGCAACGGTGTGGGTCATACGATATATCTCCCATACGGTACTTCTCATAAATACGATTAAACAATCGCGAGCATTGTGGGATTTATAAACTGCTTCTTGTCTGATTGAAATCAGGATAAAATGATTAATAAATAATTTATTGCGATTTGTGAACACCACTGCAATATTATTGTCTGTCCACTGAGGCTAATATTTATAGAGGTGGAATTAATAGAAATTTACGATAATCGCTGTAATACTGCGACTCAGAATTAGTGAACGTAAACTATCAATATTTACGCTCGCATAATACGCGCTGTCGAAACGTAATAAAAATTTTGAAAATATGAGGATTGTGTTGTTCAACGGTTGAACATGAAATTGACATGCAAGTCGCGGCAGACAGTTTTTTGACAACGGCGCAATGAAAGCCGCAACGTGTTGTTTGACGAAAGTTACGAGAACACTAATGTCAGGATCCGCCAATGCAATATGCAACATCTTCTGTTCATGTCGATTTTTATTAACAATTAAAGAATTCAGTATAGTATTTTCAAATGCACTTATTTGATAAGAAGTTAATTCAAGTTTAATTTCTCAGCTTTAATTTTTTCAAGTTCTTAAAATACTAAATTAGATATTATTGTACTAAATCTTCTAATTATTTATTAATATCTTTTGTAAATTAATAAATGATGTTTTATATAAATTTTTATTCTTGGGGAATAGTAGATTGACCAAATTGTAATTCTTTAATGTCAAACCGCAAATGTAATTTTTAATGTGTCCAAAACCAGAACTACGACTCTGTAATGAATCAGACTATGAGTCTTTAATGTTTTGCACTGAGAAGAAACCATTTGTAACTACAATTGATGAAATAATTACGATTAAAAGTTCTATTTTTATAGTTATTATTGCTATAATATTAGATAATAATTATATTCATATAACTTCTATCAAAAAGAATATATGTAATTGGCACTAAAAATATAAATTACAGTTAAATTATGGTAATTAAAACTATTTTTTTCTTTTAGTATGTAAACCTCAATTTCGAATAGCGGCCTTGTGTTCTTGACGATGTTGGCATCGACGTCGGCACCGCTTCCCAAGTCATGCCATCGGCCAGGAGATTTGTAGATCGCATTTTTTACACGATTCTCGTGTTCCTCCCTCTGCTCATGTATATGCCTCACTACAGCGTCTCTGCCTTCCTTGGTAAGAACAATATAGAATTGGCCCTCTTCGGTTAAGGATGGTGCGTACCCGATGAAAATCTTGTCATCAGGAAATGCATGAACCTCGTCCTTTACTAGTAGAAAGTCACTGCTCTCAGAATGTAAGTCTATGTTGTCTTCTATGACGTCCTTTCTAACGCGCACCCATGGAAATTCTGTGGTAACATCCTCTCCAATGATACAGCCTACGATTTTTTGTGTCAACGGCGACAGATCGATTCTTGAAAGCCCCGGTATTCCCTAATTGTAAGATTAAACTAACATAAATTTAACTTTGTATTAATATTCTTTTTCCTTTCTTCTGAAATGATGCCTCTTTTGTCGATATTATAAAAATCAAAATAAATGTTAGATATATTTGATACATTTAAAACTAATAACGTTTTATCTCTTATTCAGATATAATTCTGCAGAATCTTTGTCATGAATACTTTTAAAATCTTACATTTGACAGAACAATTCAATAATTCGGAAGTTTTGAAAATAGAATAAATCGCTGGCATGCTGAAATATTCACCATCGACACGGAATATCGAATTTTCTTTGATGGCTCCGTGGTTATCTGCGTCGTGTTAGATTTCCAAATGTCGCTCACTGACGGCCGAGAAGAGGAGTAAGCATTGAGATCATAGACAGTTCTCCGTCTTCCCATTGACGGATCATCCATTTCTATACGAATTTTCTTCTTCGCTTCTTTCTCCCAATCTTGTATAGCTGACAGAACAATGAAACAGATAAAATAATTCACGACTATTTTTTAGACACAACATAAGAAAATTATTTAGTTCTCCAATTATTAAGATAACATAGCAGAATTTTATTTATTAAACAAATTAATTTCCTGATCAATAGACTTTGAAATAGCAAACTAATAAAGCAAAATAATAAAGATATTCAGTTAGTTTATGTTTAGAGAAAAAGATAGTGACAATTACGAAAGCGACAACTGTATAAATTTTACATGTGGAATCTTGTATAAAATTGCTTTATTAAAACACCTTTATAGTTACTGTTGCTATGTTTTTTCTGAGCACGGTCAACATTTTTATCGGAATATTCGCATGATTCACATTTAAATAAACCAAAATCAATAATCCTTTTCATTATTTTTGCCAACTCGGTGTTTTAAATCGCGTCATTCATATTTGAACATATTTACGCTCGGCTAAGTTTACGTTTCATTGTTAATACTATGCGTACTTCCACCCGACGTGCGTATCCGATACGCATCATCGATCTTCGTCCGACACATAATTTTAACCCATTTGTTACAACGTTTCAATATTTCTACATTTGACGTTATCGACTTTGTTCCTTCGAACGCGTCCGTTGTATGCTTTAACAGAACGTATTTCTGTTAAAGAGTATTTGTTTTGTTTTGAGTTAACAAACGGAATATTTTTATTACACGCAAATTAAAAAAAATATACATTGAATAATGCCTTAAACTTTGTATTTAATTTTGTTTTAACTTCAGTTTTTCCCTTATAGTACTAAAATAATCAATAAACGTGTTAATAATAATAAGTTAAACTAGATAACATGAATAGCACAAATAAGTAAGAAAAAAACGGCAAATACGATCATGACTGGTTTAATAATTTTTTCTAATATTTTCAAAATCTCACCTCAACCATGCGTGGTTGATATTTTTGTAACGCGCTAGATATTTTTGTAACAAATTTTTTGTAATATTCTTTTAAATGTTTACAGAAAGAATAATTTTGCTAAAGTGTCTAAAAATTTAGTTTACAAATATTTTAGATTACAGATATGAAAATAATTTTGTTGGATCATCAAAACCAGTAGAACTCTCAAAGTAATTAATATATAAAAAGTAAAATGTTACTGTGTTAACAATGAAATATAAAAGCCGACCATAAATATGAATGACACGATAAAGCACCAAGTTGGACAAAATTATAAAAAGAATTATTGATTTTAGTTTATTGAAATGTCAATTTTTTGCAGAGCATTGTTCATTATGCTTAAAAATATGCAATTATTTTGGTCAAATACTATTTTTAAATCTACATTTAGCTCAATTTTTAGCTCGTTTTTTTTTGGTATATTAACGTCATTATTAAATTAATAATGAATTTAATTTAAGATATTATTTCAGCTTTAATTTATAATTGTGTTTTAAGTGTGGCAGTTAATCGGTTTATTTAAATAAAAGATGTATTTAAAATTTATATAAAGAAATATTATTAGACATCAAGATTTAGTCTTGACCATATTTTGCGTATTTTCTTTCTAATTTATTTGCGAATGCATTAAAATTTTCGATGTGGTTATAAGAAATACACATATCATTAATAACAAATGTAACATGAAACATTCATCAGTTATCATTATGTCAAACTTCCTCTCAAGGACTATAACCTACGCGGTTTTTTCTCTTCTTCCCATTCTCTTTCCTCGAAAGGTTTTTCCTCCTCCGAGTCGAGGGATTGTTCCACTTCGAAAAAGTCATCATATCTATGCTCGTATTCGATATCGACCTGAAACTTTTCATTCTTCGTCATTCTTCCCACATTTGCCTCGTACACTTCCTCCTCCATGACGTAAACTGTCCGTTTGATTATTTTACATTTCAGGGACTGTGTTGATCACAGACTTATATAAGTCTATGGTGTTGATGCGATCGACATGCGAAGATATGCACGTACCATACAACCACGTGCGTTCGTAGATATGTACATACACTGAGAAAAAAATGTTATTAATTCAATTAAAGTCTATATTACGGGCTGTCACTATAAACATAAGTAATTAATTCATGTATATTTTTATTGATAAAGGCCTTGATTATTGAAATAATAATTTATGCCTTTATGTCAATAAAAATATACATAAATTAATAAAAACTTATGTTAGTGATAGCCCGTAATATAGACTTTAATTGAAACAGCATTTTTTTCTCAGTGCTGTGTAATCATGGATAATGTATGCGCATACGAATTGGTACAACATACGATGAATATAACTCGAATGCGATACAAGATAATAGAAGATATCTTCACGTCTGATCGGCAAACCGAGTGCGAGACTCATGCCAGCGTAACAATTTTTTAATCCATATACTGCAGGTATATTAACACAGCGGTAATGCAGTTAACGACGCGTGTCGAGATTTAACGAAACTTCAAGTCGGGTACATTTGCAATTTGATTAAACATTGAAATGGGTTTTATCGTTGAGAATTCGATGTCTCCCCTCTCCCTTACTTGTCTTTTCGTCCATCGTATTAAACGTAAAATGGATGGATGTTTCGGAATTTAAATTTTTTCCCTCGAAATTTTTATGTGCAATTGCAAACGACGAGAGCGATTTAATTGTTTTATATCAAACGAATGAAAAAGGGTCGCTCGTGTACTTAACCCATTTTGCAAACTCGATATATCGCAAGTATTGTTAGCGTTAATGTTTGTAACCTAATGATTAATGTAATAGTGCAACGATCGATTTGTCGTCATTTAAATGCAATACATCGATAATTGATAATACAAATTAACAATAGATTTATCGTAATAAATAATGGTGATATTAGGAAAAGAAGTTATAATTTATAATTATCATTGTACAAATTAATAGTGACATGTACATTTCAAAAGTAAATAAATATAATATTGCAAAGAAATTAAACTTTCTTTATTTAAATTTTTTAAAGATAATGCAATTGCAGCGCTGAAATTAGCTTGCATAATATTCTGGGATTGTAATTAAAAGATTTCCATCAGCCCAGCTGTTGAAATGCAATTTTACTTGGCATAAAATATTATTCGTTTGCCACTTTTATTTGTCAAATATAATAAATTATTACGGTAATATGAATCTGATACCGATACCATAATCTGTAACGAATATTTGGCAATATTTTTATCCAAATAACCAAAAACATTATAACCTGAATTAACATTAATTAATATTTATTTATAATTCATGTCATGCTTTTGAGAAAATTTTGTTCTTCACTGTATAATATTGGTTTGTATATTTATAAAAAAATGCATATACGGTTTTAAAAGTTCCAGAATACTTTTAAAAATTAAATAAAACACGCTGTACTGTGTAATTTTTTATTTTGGTAACATAACTATAATAATTTGGTTTTTTAATTAAAAAGTTTCAAAAATATTTGTCACAGATTGATATACATTGCTTGGAAAACTGTTTTTTTCTCATCAATTTTTTCTTTTCATAATATCCTTTTACTTTTATTAAATCCTTACATATTTTGGGCACTCTGTTAATTAATTTTTCAAACATATACTTAATGATATTTTTCTCTCCAGGCTTTATTTTGTAAACGCTGCCAGAGTTGTGGTACGATCTATGGACCCACTTTTCACACCCGTCTATCACCAGAGATTTTTTGATGAAAAAAATTGTAAATTTTCTAGACAACATGTCAAGCCGTGACAGATATTTTTATAGTTATTTTACAGTCAAAAAAGATTGAATTACGTCGCCAAAATATTAAAAAATTCGGCAAAAATATGTATTTTATTTAATTTTTAGGAGTATTCGGGAACTTATGAACTTATGTTATTTATATGTATATGTATTTAACAAAATGCGACAAAAGATATGGTGTTAGATGTATATTGTATTATAAAAATATTATACACAAATCTACTTTAAATTCCATCATTCACGATATGGCATCGAGACAAACGTTCTTACACCCTTATACATGTTTTGTATACATCTTAATTCCCTGCCATGATGTTACAATTGCGCAGACAGGGTCGTTCTCTATGTTAAATACGGGGCAAATATTTATCCAAGATTATGGCGACGTAGATAACGACTTCATTCTACACGCAGCATAGTAGATATTTTCGTGGTTTGCGTATTTAATATACATGTATATGTACATATTTCGAATAGATAGTACAGTTTGCGCTCTAATTGTCGGCGAAATTTATGACTTTCGCGAATACGCGTGGAACCGGTTCCAAACAATGCGTTCAGTTGTCAAATATTCGACAAATTCAAATGTGCTGAATTTACGTGATGGATTTAACTGTATTGTCACGCACAATTAGAACATTGTCACGACGACATGCATTATCGTGTCCGCATGATGTGACGCTTGTCTCAACTTAGCGATCATTTATTGAGTTGAAAACGATCAAATAAATAAAAGCGAGAAAAAACGAAAATAAGGAAAGATGACCCGAAAAAAACAGTTTTTTTTGCTGGAATATTTAAAAATTCAGCTAGATGACGTCAAAGTGACTTCAAAATTGGAGCCCTATTTATAAAAGAGTAGCGCAATTCTGAACCAAATGTCGACAACTGTCTCATTGGCGATTTCGATCGCTATTTTTGACCTGATGGTCTATCGTCTAATAAGTAAATGATAAATAATAAGTAAACTTTGTAAATAAGTCAATAAATAAGTAAGTAAACATAGTAATTTTTTATATGATATGATTATTAGCTTAACCATGGCGGACCTTTGTGCTACTCAATTATATATAGAGCTCTACTCGAAATGATTATTAAAAGCCACTTTTCGATCAATAACGTCATTTCGACGTTAGAATGAATCATATTTGATGGAAAAGTGACTTTTCATGACCTTACATCATTTTACTTTCTAGTTTCAAATATTTATAACGAGCAGCCATTAGAAGGGATAAGTATAATTTTACGACTTATCTTTGCGTTTCCAATTCCTTTTGACGTCGGGCACTTTCCTGAAAAATGTATCTTGTACTCGGTGGATGTCGGTAAATCGTAAAAAGAAAGAAGTGCTGGCCACGCCTTTTTAAGAGCGTTCTATTAACGGCGGGAAATTCTGAATTTCGTGCAGAATGATATTGCGTAGCTCGCGACTCACATGCAATTTCGCGTCTTTTTATATATATTTGAGAATTTCTTTATATTGCTCTTACTTATGCACTGTAAAACTCGTGCATCACGTAGTAAGATGGATCAGTACCGTGAAAATGGAAACTTTGACTGCCGGCTCTATCATTCCGTGTCGTTACGCGATGTTAAAGCGATGCTGGTGTATCCATCCAGTAGGTATTCATATCAATTGCGAAGCGCTTTTAGTACAAAAATTTGTAATTAAATTATTACTATTTTCGCAGGCATATGCAACGACCGAGTACCTATTTTGTATGCGCTTCGACGATCGTTATTTTCAGCGTTCGTACGGTGGAGCCGGTAATCGGCGATTCGCACGCCCGTTGGAAAAATAGATTCCGGCGTTTAGACAATTTGGCCTCGCGGCCGGACCGTACGGCGATTAATCAATTGTAAATATATACCGTACATAGATTGGAAATACACGCTGCCTATTTCCTGTTTAATCGAATCAAATTGAGATGGTATTTTCCCTGTGTCCGGTCTCCCCATTTATCGGGCCGAAATGTCGAGTGGTGCTTTCCTCTTCGCCCAATGTAGAACGTAAACGATCCGAAATGCGCTCACTGACGATTGATCGGTCAAAGGGAAAACCACTAGAAAGTCCTCGCCATTTTTGGTAGAAATGCAGAAAAAATAGCGAGTGAAATAAAATCTTTAAGAGATTTCTTATGTTTTTCCGATCGATACATGTATTAATATTTTTACAAATCTACTAATCTCAATAACTTTCTCTCGTAAAAGTTTGAGTGAAATGGATAATTTTGCTAAAGTATTTACAGAAATTTAAGTAGATACGGAATTTTTAGTTAGGCAGATACCTACGAAGAATTTAATTAGATGTAAAAATAATTTTGTTGGACCATCAAAATAATTATGTAGGACGCTTAAGCTAGTTATTAAAATTTCAAAACTTTTTGCAGCATTGCTCATCATGCTTGAAATTCCTACGTAATTATTTCAATGGTGTCCAACAAAGTTATTTTCAGATCTGTATCTAACTAAATTTTTAGATATTTCAACAAAATCATTCTTTCCGCGTGTATATATATTCTTGGCATTTTTAAATTATATCACGGGTGTTTCCTGTTCTACGCAAATATTTCCCGTCCACAGACACAAAGATCTCTTTTATTGTTATTATAATACTCCTCTGTCGTTAAATTTATCACTCATAACGCTACAGGAAGCTGAAGATAATTTATTTATAAATGGTGTGGGAAAGAATGTAAGAGGAAAGAGAAAGAGGAGAGAGAATAGCGAAGCCGGGCGCAAAGCTTTAAGTGGCACTTTCTTTCGCGGAGATGCAAAGAATGCTCCGTTGCGAACGAATGTTAAAACACCCGGAGTCTTACAAGAGTGCGCGGCACGGCGTTTATTTCGAAAATTTAGAATAGAGCGCTTTTTTAAATCTCGTCAGACGGAACTTTTAGGCTGTTTTTATAGTAGTCGGCACAGCAACACTTTATCGTTCTAGCTTTTATTCAGCGCATTCGTTCGCTCGTGCGAATTCGGAGCTCCCTATGGATATAGAGAATCATCGGGACGAACGGTGCGGCGCACAAGCGGCGTATTGAAAATATTGAGTTGTTTTTAACGCCATCGTTCATCCCGACGACATGAATTTTTACGACAATCTGACAACCGTGAGATTTTCATATGAAAGCGTCTCCCGTTGAGACCACTAGAAAATTATTTGAGATATGAGATTTATGTTTGGGCTCCGAATTTTCGGAAAAGGCTGATGCAAAAACGCTTCAAGGAAAATATAT